AATATCCTTATTGAAAAGGGTCAAATCTATTGTCTTTACACTTCTGATATGCACTTGTACAATGACTTTAATGACTCATTTGACAAAGTAATGTTTACCGTTTCATATATATGACTGTATATTTGGATTTCCAGGACAACTTGTCTTTAATGCAGTGCCTTTAAATTATCTGATAAATATCTTAGTGAGGAAGACACTCAACCACTTCATACCTCCTCAATAGAAGGGGGAACGGATGGGTTCATGCTGGCATGCGGTAGACACCCACAGTGAGTCAGCGGTGCATGTCATCATGCAACAAACCTCCCTCCATGTGCAGCCTGACCTCAAGCCCAGTCGAACCCTCAGGCTGAAGGCATCGCGTGCTTTGAGGTAGAGACTATGAGAGATGTTCCATCTGTAGCTGGGCCTACATTAGAGTTGGTGTGGGGTGATATTCAGCATATTTAAAATTTATTAGACTTTACAAATTATTTATTATTGTACATATGGAGCCCTCAATAGTCTCGCCCAAACTCAGCTAACAGCTCATTTTCTCTCATCAAGCCTCAGGAACACGTTGTGCTTTCTGCAAGGTCTACTGGTTCCAGCAGCTTGGAAACAAAGGGGGTTTTTCTTCCAGTGATGGAAGAAAAGGGATGGTGTTTGGGTGTACCTTGAGTGTGTTAACTGATGAAAGGTATGTGGTTTATACAAAAGCTTGATGCAAGTTTAATCAGGTAGCCAACATCGACTGTTTCTTACTTACTCCTAGGCCTGTCCCGATAACAAATTTTGCTGAGCGATTAATTGTCTAAAAAATTATTGCGATAAACGATAATATTGTTTCAAGACCGTTTGACACTGATTTAATGGAAATGACGTAATAATGCATGCTATTTCCTGCCATAGGTAGATACACTTTATTTTCAAAAGAACACATAACACTGGAACTGATAAACTAAATAAACAAAACAACCAAAAACAAAAATAAAATGGATTCTCAGTCTCCATTAACAAAAAACGTACTTTAATAAAAACTAAACAACATAAAGCCAAAGTGAAAATAAATACTACATTCAACCAAAAGAGTGCAGATTATGAAGACTGTATACTGTATGTGCCCTTCAGTAATCACTAGATTTAAATAGAGAAGATGGGCACATCCGACTACCTAATGCAGTAGTTCACACTACACCATTTTTTTTACACTATTTTTCCCTTACGACAATCTTAGGACGTTGGCCTGGAGGATCGGTACCATTTCGTAACCAATCATCCTGTAGTGTGATGTAGATCATCGTGGCCACTCCGATCTAAATCAGGGGTTTTCCCCGACTGGGAGCTTAATGCTGAATGTGACAGGTAGCCAATCAGAAAGCGCGGATTCTCCTCCTGCTTTCTGAGGGGAAATTACGGAGGGGAATCCCAAACAGCTGACACCGTGCAACCCGAAGTCCAGCAGACATCGGAGATGATATGTGGAAACAACATTAATATTTATTTAACATTTCGTGCAAAGAATATAGAAATAACAAGGGGAGGAGTTGAAGCCAAATTGCTACCGTAGTTGATAAACCCGGTAAGTTTTCAGCTGTTCTTCGTTAACGTGACATAAATAGGTTACAATGATTTTCACTCAGTCAGGACTTTACGCTGACTCTATCCACATGCATCACAGGTAGATTCTGATAAAACATTGATTAATGCCTGATATTAAAAGTTAACTGGGCTTGTACCCGTCCAGTACAGGTCGTGCTGGACACCACACAGCACGATTGAACCGTTATACCTAGTATTTCTGTCGGCTAATGTGTCTCTCAGGTTTTGAAAATGGGCCGACAGTCGGCCGACAACTCGTGTCGTGTGCTCTGGACATTACACTACGGAAATGAGGAAGGGAGGGTCAGTAGAGAGCGCCGGAGTTGAGCCTTTTTTCATTCATTGTCAAGAGAAAAAAAGAAAAAAACACAGGAAGAGACGATAAAGCCAATAATTAAAATGAGGTCGACAGGTTTAATTTATCGTGCGATTAATTGATTGTTTATCGCGACAGGCTTACTTACTCCCAAACAAATGTCTATCACTAACACTGAATCACCAAAGAATATGGTCTGCAAGTGCAGTTTTACACCCACATTGTTTGATTCATAAGAGGTTGCTACCTTAGTCTGTCTTCTTCATTTGGGCAGAGGTGAAATTTCATCCAAACTCAAACAAACTCAGATTCACCTGAAAATGCTGGTCATAATTCACTTGCTAGCAAACGCTGACATATTTTGCTAACAGAAAGCAAATGAGGTATGAAAGGAAACGGAGCAAATTAAATCATGGACACCTGGTATCCGAAACAACTGTCAGATGATCAGCTAAACTTTGCTAATACATTAGATGCCTCTCTAAAGCACTTAGAACTGCTGAAAGTTTCAAACACCAAATATGTATTAAATACAGTGGAAAGTGTTTCAGCTCTACTGCAGAAGTTAAACATCTACAGTCTTCTTTATCTTGTCTCTGGGAGGTACAGCCAATTAGTGCCAAGGAAAATAAATGGCACTCCTGGATTGGCTGCTTGCAAATGCCACACAATAGCACATCAAGTAGGTGTTGTGGCCAAGTACTTCAGCTTCCCTACCTGCATTGTCGTTACGATATTTTAGATATCGCCAATAATTTGGGAGAATTTGAGTTATGTTTCACAGAAAAATCAGTAAGTAGATGAGTGTGAGAATGATGGAGTGCGAGTCCATCATTTCATTAGGACGTTGGCCTGGATGATTGGTACGATTTCGTACAGATCATCGAAATCAAAATACCATAATAAAAGTGTGGTATTGATTTGCAATACCACGCTTTTCATTTGTGTAATCACAGCTGAATTCTTCATTTTCTCACTCACTGCATTTCATTTTGCCCTGCTACAAAGGTTTCATGTATACGGGACAACATGCTCGATAGCGCCGCGTAGTCTGCTGCTCATACTCGACAGGTTCTTGCTATAGCGCCCCATATAGGCAGCTGTTGAAACTGTAGGAAGTTATTCGGGAGGTTTTGCCCAGTTTAAATCACCCTTTATGAAAATTAGCAAAACATTGCATCACATATTCAATTACAGTCCCCATCACAACCACAACAGATTGCTTGATACCATACGTGGGAAGGATATATTGAGCAGCATTATTGTGAAAATGAACCAAACCAGATTAAGAAGTAAAATTTGTCAACATTTCCCACCAAATCACACCGAGTGCCCCAGGATGTCCTTATATGAAATAATCATCTTCCTAATAGTTGTGAAAAGCCAACAGTTGATAATAAAATGTCGTATTAAACAGTGTGGTGTTAGAGTGTGACTCTTCCTACAATCAAATTAACTTCATTTTTATCTTGCCAGCTGCTAATATTTCTCTAGAATATTTGCAAACAGGCCACAGCTATCGCTTTAACCCTAAAAACAAAACTAAGATTCTTGATGTTTACGTTTACCAGCCATATTTGGTCAAATGAGTCACAGGAAACCTTCGACTCACACTGGACATTCAGCTGGATCGACGAGTTGGTCATCCCCACCAAGTTCTCGGCGATGCAGGTCAGCTGGAAATTGTTGTCGTCTCGGCTGATGTTGAACAGCGTCAGGTTGATGGAGTGGATGTCCGGCCAGTAAACGTTCGACTGTGGAAGCAGATAGAGGGAAGAGATACGGTTAGGTCTCCGAATGAAATACTGCACCGCATATACCATTATACTGCTGGGCTTTAAAATTTTAATTACTTAATTAAAACAAAGGTTAATTATTAATTAGCTAAAATCCGGTTGAAAGAAACAGAATGCAGTCAAGAGGTGTGGACTGGATTAACCCTAACATTGCTAATATCAGTTTAACATCATACAACATTTTTACAATGTTCAGAGCAACAACATGGAACGTTTTCACGTCTATTTCGTCTTCATATAACCACTGTGTATTTTGAGATGGAGTTACAACTTATGGAATAAAAAATACAAGAATTATAGCATGCCTGTTTTCACTTATTCACCCTTATCCATTATCTAGCTTTGCTTAAACGCAAAGCCCCGCGGCAGGGGGGCAATTTTTATCTGCAAAGTCACTAAAAACATTAAAGTCATGGATAAAAGCTGCTGTGTAATTTCAGCAGACCGCTGTCTCTTCCTGCTTGCTTAGCTGCAGTTTTCATAACAGCAATGTCCTTGGGGCCTGTGTCAGAGAGCCAGAATAATGGGTCAGCTGTAATATTCTCCACGCAGAGCAGCTCTCTTACAAGGAACGGGCTTGTTGATATCGAGTGTACATCAATATAGTAACCAGGCTATAAAAAAAAGTGGAGTGGCCAATAGGATGTCACCCAGCAGCCTCGGAGCGGTCGGTTGGGGAACTGGCTGTGATCGTTGGGCATTTATAAGTCTGAAGTGAGCCTTTTTTGTTTTTGTTTTGCTTTTTTTGCAGGGCGGGATAGGGAATAGTTCAGGATTTGCAGCAGTAGATTTATTTAGTATAGAGCTGCACGTGTTTAGATCACACAAATTGTGTGCAATCCAACATTGTACGTCTGTCTGTTTCACAAAGGCATTTCAAATGCTTCTGTCCATTTTTGTAAATCTCCTCCTATTTGTTTTTTTTATGCAATGGACTTACAAAGCAGTTTGCACTAAATATATACAAGATCATTTCTTCTGAAGACCTACGACCACAAACTCAGGAGCTTAAATGAGTTACCCATTTTAAAAATGGGACAAATTCTCATCTTTGTTTATCGCAGTGATGTCCCTGCTTTGATGGATAAAGACTGAACCTGTGCTTAGCGCTCACACACGGTACTGCCATTTGTCAGCGTTTGCTGACAAACGCTTGTCATGTGATCAAGCCGTTTCAGGTCAGCGTTGTCTATCTGGTGGCTCCCAGCCTCAGTCAGAGACCAACAGTTCACCTCTAATCAAACATTACAAACAGTTCAAACTCTCACTGACTGTCTGGTCCAGAGGTAACTAGCGCTGTGCCCGCAAGCATCAGGTCACCCTGAGGGAGCACATGAGCTACCCGCAGGGCAAGTCTGCAACAAAAAGCACTTGACTTTCACAATAAAACTAACATATGCTGGAAAAAATATACAGTTCTGGGCCTTCTTTCATACATATATATATATATATATATTTTTTATATTTATTTCTAAAACCGGTTTTAAGCCTCTTGCGGGCCTCACAGAGCAATCAACAAGATTTGCAATTAAGGCTTTCAAGATAAAGTTACTCTTCAAAATACACACGTTTTATAGGGTAGATTTTTGAGCAAAGTGAGTTCCATAACGCTTATTGATATAAACTATTGATGAAGAAATTCCATTAAGTTGGTTGTTTCAAAAACACAACTTAAAGACGGTCTTTAAAATCATATTCAAGGTTATACATTGGGAATGAAGTGGAGTTTTCTAGAGATTGTATTCAACGCCCTATAAGTTGCTTTCAGTTCTTAAAAAGGTTACTGGTCAAGAGTAGAATAAGGATTGTAAGAAATCCCTGAGAAAATGAGTAAATTATATCTCAATCCTGAAAATACAGTGGGACGTTTATTTGTTTACAAAAATTATAACTGCATTAAAAAAACTGTTTTGCCGTTTTAATCAAACCCCAAACTGGATTTGATGAATGTTATGTCAGCACCTGATAGCGTTAATAGTAGTCTGAGCATATATTTTGTTTGGTTTTAAGTTTATTTTATGCTGTATGCTGCTAATCTGAGCATAAACTTGGCTCCAGAAATGATGTCACAACCAAGAAAAACATCCTCTGGTCCTGAACCACAGAGTTTCTTTATATTTTCATGGCAACCACTGTTGGCCATACGAGTCAATAACCGAAAAAAAAAATGTTCTCAAACAGATATTTTGTGTTACTGATTCAGACACAATCCATCAAAAGTGCTAACAAAGTTTATACCTGCAACTTTTACTCTAAGATTGCATTTCTCTGCAATCTCCAACTTGGGCATTCTTGTTTTGTTTAAGAGGAAATAAAAATTTTTGAGTCCAATAATCAGCCGATTAAATCTGTGTGTTTCTGACCAGGTGTGTGTTGATGGAATGCAGGTCACCGACGGTCCAGTCCACTTCAGGCAGTGGCAGTCTGGATCCGTTGCAGCTCACCGTCACGTTTTCACCCTCCGTCACCAACACGCTGCTGTGGCTCACGCTGATCTCCGGTAAGTCTGCAAGTACCCAGGTGCAAGGCACACAAACACAACAACAGTATGTGATCAGGTTACCAAGGATGAGCTTTAAGTCTGCATATTTTCCCGATCAGATCAATTAACCTCATTTAATAAATATAATAACTAAGATACTTCAAACGGAGATGGATTCTCACTCACACTGTATGAGGCCCTTCAGAGATGAGTCACCACAGGAAGATAAAGTCTACAGCCTCTGTCAGGTTCAACATGCAGCTCGACACATCAGATTCACCCTGTGATCTCTGTCACACCTCCTCTTCTTTCACGCGTCACCCTCACTGTGCCCTTTGACCTTCTCCTTCACTTTCCGTTTAGTTCCAGTTTCCCTTCCACCCTTGCTGTTTTCCTTCCCGTAGCCCACCTCCGCCCTCGTCAGCCCCTGGTTTTCTTACCACAGCTGTTGATGTGCATGTTGTTCAGCCGAATCTTGGAGGCTCCGTTCATGCAGTACAGCTGCTGCGTGTGAAGCCCCGCCTCTCCCTTCTCCTGCCACAGCTGGATCCAGCGGATGCTGCAGCCGCAGTCGAACACCACGCCGTCCAGACGTCTAGAACGCAGGCAGAGGACAGCGCCGTTGGTGGCAATTCCAACGAGTGACAACAGGATAGATGTACGCAGCACTACCAATGAGCAAAACTCAAATATGTTAAGGATACGGACAACAAATTGTGTTGCATACATTTCCCAGAATGCAAATGAAAGTAGTTTGGCTGGGATTTTAAGAGAACTTAGTAGCAGCTTGTGCTGCCTGAGGCATCCATCCTTGAGCAGGGCTCAGGGATTGGAAACATTTCTGTGTCCTTTCATTAGTGCTGCACTACAATCAGGCATAACACAACAACCACCTGCCTGACCGTGTGTTAGGAGCACTTTTGTTGCCAAAGAATCCTAGATCCACCGGTACATGAACTCCATTGGATCCCTAAAGGTGTGCTGTTGTATCCGCAATCAAAATGGTAGCAGAAGATCCTTTAAGTCTTGCAAACTGTGAGGTGGGCTCTCCACGGATCAGACTTGTTTGGCAGAGTGTGTTATTGTGCTGAAAGACACCACAAGTGTCGAGGTACACCATGCAGTCACGTTTAGGTAAACATGGATGGCAGGATCCACAGTTTCCCAACCGAGCATAACCCAAACCATCCTTTAGTCTCTCAGGTTCCTTTATGTTTAGGGTACAGATGTTCCTGGTGGTGTAATAAAAACTTAAGTCAACATGATGTAGAACAAAACGTGTATCAATAAATCCACGCCAACGTCTTGCATTGCTTTGTGGTTCAGTTCTGATGCCAACAGTTCTATATTTAGCACTTTCAAGGAACATACAAGGTAAACAAAGGGATCCTGATTGGTTCCAACACACGTATCTGCAACGTGCGGATGCAGATATTTTCACACATTTCTATTAACACCAGCATGTCCAGCATGTCAGTTGAATGAGACCACACCACGTCTTCACTCCTTGTGTACATCATTGAGTCTTGCCAGCACATGACCACTGCTGATGCTTGAACACCCCAGAAGGACTGCAGCTATGGACATGCCCAGTCCAGTTCATTTTGTTATTACAGTTTGGTCACACTTAAATCCTCCTGGTTGCACTTTTTTGTGCTTCTAATGCAACAAGTTTGAGGATAGAAATGTTCACTTGTGTCCTCCTATATCCCACCCACTAAGAGATGTCATTAACAAGGTATTATAATATTAGGCCTGCCACACCAAGACTGTTATTAGGCCCCATCTGGGCACAACTTTGAAAACTTTAACCAGTCTGTATTTGACCTGCTTGTAAGCATCATGTAGCCACTTCTGAACTCTGTGTTGTTAGCTTTCACCTCGGAAAGCTAACAATACTTGCTGGAGGCGCGTCTGGGTGTGTGGTTGTCCCCACTATCCTTCACTCCGCAGAGGGTCAAGTCAGTTCAGATAGATATCTCAGTAGATGAAGCCACAGATTTCAGAGGGAATTTTGGAAGTGTGATTTGTTTTATACTTATCTCAGTCAGCACATTGGGGTTGTTCACAAACAGGTTTGTTATTTTCAACTCCTGATACTAAGCTAACTGTGCTTCATGTTTTAATAACTGTCTTTACTTACATTGTCATGTAAGCAAGGCAAATACGTTTCCTATCAGGTTAAAAGAACCAGCGGTCACCTGGAGTTTAGTTACTGAAACACACATGCACAACACACAGTTTGCATCAGCAGAAAAAAAGTTACTATTGTGGCACTACAATTAAATTAGCTGATTTTCATAAGCCTTTTCTTAATTAGTTTTCTTCAGGTAACCTGATGTTTGCCTCGGCAATTAAAAACATTATTTGCAAATAATAATTTCTTAAGGTCTTAAGGTAAAGTTAGCTACTCTTGCAGTTACATAAGTTCTGTTTCTTGTATGACTCTTCACAGCAATGAAATGCCTCGATTCTAACAAGTGTTACTGTTTCAAGGGAATAAAAGCAAAATAAGTTGACTGTGCAGTTATGGATGCAGTCATTGGAAAAGGACATACAATTGTGTGTGAACACATGACCAAGAAGAAAGAAAACACCAGCAATGACCATAAAGTAGCAACAGTTCCTCATATCATTCCAGGAGTCCACCGTTCTACAGTGAGAATGCAACAGTAGAAAGTTGTAGCCAATTACAAGAAAGTTTTCCCCAAAGATAAACGGAAACCCAAATATTGCAATGTTACAAGACACTGCCAAGTCAAAATCTTCATGTCAGACTCTACAGGATTCAGCTAGATGGTAAAGAAAACGTATGAATTATAAGAAACGGTTGCATTTAATCTCTACAGAATATTGTATACATTTTTAAATTAGCTTTTTTTTTTGTTGGCATCAGGACACTTTTGTGACCAAAGAGTAGATGTTATACCATAATGCACAGTAAGATGCTTGGAGTAAAACATGGAAGAGAAGGAATGGTGACTTGGGTTTGTTTTGAAGCCACAGGAGTTGAACCTCTTGCAGTCAATGAGCCAACCAAGCGCCTAACTAGAGTATCCAGGAGTCTTTGCATTATCAGTAGCAACATAGTACTCAAAATAGCATCAAATCTATAACAACAAAAATTCCAGATTCTCAGTCAAAGTCCAGAACTAGTGCTGACTCAGATTAAATGTTTCTCAATAAACAATCCAATCCTGTAAAGAATGGTCGGTCAAGGGTCAGCAACATCCATGTTGAATACTGTCAAGACTGTACCACAATTAATGGAAATGTCAAAGAGTCTGAAAACTAAACTACAGTAAATACTCTAAACTGGCTTCACAGATTTAGGTTTTCTCATAGTTTCTAATAACTGGATCTACTCTATCAGTCACAATCAGCACAGGCCATCAAGGTCAGGCTGCTTTAGCACCAGACAAGTATCACTAGTTTCCCTTATTCAAAGATTTAATTTTCAGTCCAACGTACAGCAGACACCCGCATTTTTCAACTCGGCACACCACCTTTGCATTTCGCATGCGCTCCATTTGGAGGTTCTGATTGGCGAATTTTGTCAAAATGAACGCCAGTCCAAATCTCCTTGAGAGAGGTCAATAAGATATTGCAGAAAGCCTGAATAATGCATGAGCAGCAACCAGTGTGCTTTATGAAGCCATGGGAATGGAGTCCCACAGGTGGTTCGCACTTATTACCAGCTTTTCTGTAGAGCTGATTATTTAGAAGAGCAGAGTGTCTGTGTCACTATATGACGACTTTGTCTCAAAACTCTCTGCACTTGCCAGATCGGTTCGTTATGTACTTCCACAGGAAACTAATTAATGGTCTCAGTGCCTGAAATAATGGCCAATTTAGTTGCTTTCTAAGCAATTTTGGACAAGTTCCATTTATAGTTAGGTTCCTAGTGCATCAAGGTATTCTGAACACCAATAACATAGTGATACAGTCATTCTACCCATATATAGCCATATTTATAATTTTCCTTAAATTCATTGATTGATCATATCGTTTGTTCCTGATCATTTATTCTGTATCCCAGCATTCTAAGTGACTGTCGCCCCACAGGGGGCATATGCAGTGATTAAAATATTTGCAATAGTAAGTAGAGCACTTATGTAGCATAGCATGAAATGGGTCACAACTGTTTGGATCATCAGAAATGAAGTCACTTTAATGTGAGCTGAAGAGAACATTTAATTCTATTACATGTCTATAAATGAACCATCTCTCTCTGGGGTCAGAAAATATTATTGTCTTGCAATGTGTACAGGAAAATGTGATTGGTTGCATGTATTAACAGCAACACATTGTGTAAGTTACAGTCTCTACACCGCATTGAAGGTTTTTCTATCCAGGTCAGTTTTATTCTGTATAGCAGGCTCTTTCATAAAACTCCAGCTGATTTTTTATCTGGGTGTTTTTCAATTATTTCCCCTGTTATTTGTTGGATTGGATCCAACAAAACAGGGGTTAAATTATTCAGGAGGACTGTTTACTAATTGGGTGAGTTTTTAAGGCAGTCGGTTGTACTCGATTTAATCTGAAGGGGTATCAAAGTAAACGGAGCTGGAAACAATGGCACACTTTGCCATACTTAACATGGTGTCCTAATTTTTTTTTTTCCCACATTACTGTAGAGGTCTTTCTTTTCTTTTCCTGGAAGGTTTGGGGAAGACAAGTACCTCCCTTTATGACAAGCAGAAGAACATTTCAAGGTTAAAGGTTTTCAGTTAACGCTGAGCGTGCAAACCACGAGGGAATGAAACTCAATGGAGCAGCAAGGCTCAGGCTTTCCCTGTTCTGCTGTAATTATGGTGATTATTAATAATAGCCGCCACCTTCACACATTAGCCATGTTGCCTCTAGGCTGAGCTGATTGGCACCTGTACTGGGACAAATACTTTGGTTAAATAAGAAAACCTTGTGGCCCTGCAGCCAGCTGGTGAGGTGCAGCAAGACATTTGTGAGGCTTTGGTGTTACAGGAATGAGACCGAAAAAAAAGAAAGCAAGATTTCTGACCAGCAGCTGGAAGTTGATGCATGTCTGAAGGAGAATATTTTTGGATTTATAAGGCACAAACACAAATAGGAGTATGGCCAACACAAAGAGCGGGCTGCATGGTGTTTCCCGAACGCTAGCTAACAATCCACCCTGCTACTACAGAGGGGAGACAGCGCTCACCACCAGAGGCTGTTTCTGGGATGTGTACACACAGGTGCTCCAGCTTAGCAACAGTGCATCACAAAGAACTGCAGTGGTGTTCGCGAGCTTTGATCTCAGCTTGAACGCGCCGCTTACTTTCTCGGCGCTATTATCAGGAATTATCTAAAATCCTGGGTGTTTAATGGAACTTTTGATATAAATGTTAACACATTTCCAAAATTTGAGAGTTTGATCATCGTGACGGGAGGCGCAAGTGATGTCTTGTAATCTTTTGGATGTTGTCATGCTTTGATGGCAAGATACTTGGCTGGAAATAATTAATTAAGATATTTACCGTCAAATGAATCACATCCAGCACAGAAGGTTTTGCTTTACATAAAGCACACATTTTCATGTGTTGACAAGGATCTGCAAAATATTCTGGTGTAAAACTGCCAGAAAAATAGATGCTTATTGTACAGTAAGAGAAGATCTACACCACACACCAATCCAAACACCACCATGTATACAAAAAAATAAAAACAGTGAATGATACTGCAACACAGCATTTGCAGCACCACAGTGTGATTCAGTACTTAACAGGTCAGCAGTTTTCTAGAGAATATTTAAATAAGCATATAACAATCCTTTAAACACCTAGAGGTCCAGCATTAATAGATTAACAGCTTATTCTACTAAACAATGTTTGCAATCTTACAAATATGGCATTTTGAAAGATACATTGGTCTAAAAATGATGAAATAAGGGAAGTGTGACATGAAATATAAAGTCTTGCCTTATATTTAATGTATATGTGACACTTTCAATAAACTCTCATTCTGATTTGTATACAGAGTATGATGGTGTGGAATTCACAGTATTCTGCTCATGACCAGGTACTTTACTTTTTTGAGACGTTGTCAAATCATTTTAATGTTTTTGGCTGAATTAAAGAATTCAGCCAAACATCTGGGGATGAATCTTAAAAGGCAGTGGGAACCTCCAGTTTCAGGCATCCACCCTCACAAGTCAAATTAACTCTCTGCATAGTGCCTAATGAGATGAAGCAATGTTATTGAGTCAGTGAGTATTGTGGGCATCTGTGAAGCAGTGCCCAAGTGCAGTTTACTCCTGCTGTAATGTTTTAACTTTCACAATAAATCTGCAGTAGATGGGTTTACTGTGGAGATCAAATTGTGTAGGATATAATCTTAAATTTGTAGAAATGTGGTGTAGGAGAATTGCTTTCCTGTGGTATCATCTACCCTGACGCTATTGAAATGAAACACTGGCACAAAACAGTACAAGGAGGAGGATAAAAAATGTCACTAGCAAGATATATAAATTGCTACAAATTGCAATAGCAATAAATTGATCCAAGAATATGGTTATGCTGATTCATATTATGTTTATACATAGCAACTCTTAAAATACTTGATAGGTACAATAATAATATTTTCATAATAGTTTTTTATGATTCTTAAGTCCAAAAAAAAGCAATTAGTTAAGGTTTGGATCCAGAGTAACGAGAAATATATTGATACTTTGTAAAGCAACCATTAACCAAGTCAACTCCAAAATGCTGTTGAAAAATCAGTTCATGACTCTTTTCAGTTAAAAAACATAAGACAGCATCTGATTCCTCATTTCTAACTTAACAGTTCAGTACATGACACGGCTCTACCCAGCTACTGAAAAACAAAACTGCAAATCAGATGCCAAGTATCACTGAAAGGAAAAACAGCAACTTAGTTGTCTTAATTCACACTGTGGTAATCAGACATTAAAATGTCTTGCTGCACAATATTCTTCATACTGTTCATATTTATGTTTTTTGGGGGGCACGAGGGGATTTATGGAGTTGATAGCATTTACAAAAAAAGCATTTTCTGGTCACAGTCTTTCAATAGTTTACATTTCTGAGTGAATGTCTAGTTTTAAAGATAATGTCTTGTTGTCCTAACAACCTAAGGAGATGAATGGAGTGGAAACTGGGTAAGTTGTGATTTGCCTACAGTTTTGTGCCTGACTAGAAGGAATCTGCAATGATAATACTGACTTCAGTTCCACGGTTTGCTTGTGCCTAGAGAACGGCTGATTCTGATTCAAGGCTGATCGATTGGGGCATCTCTAGCTGTGTCAGCAACATTGACGTAAGCGAGACTGCTGCTTCCAAACTATAAGTAGATCAAGTCTCTGAGCTTTAGCCTTTTAGCACTGATTTAAAGTTAAAGGCACATTTAGCTCCCCGAGAGGTTTTCACTGTTGCTGTTAAAGGTTTTTAAAACAAGACATCTGGAGGTTTTCTGGCACCTTCCTATAGGGGTATCATGCTACAAGCCTTCTGTAGTTCACACTTTTCTCACTTTCTTGCACCGTCTTATCATGCAGGAGGTGGGGGGGAAACAAATTCATAATTGATGACACTGTAGCTCAAAAGAAGGAGGCTGACACTGCACAGACAGCAAGGAAGGAAGAACCGACTGAAGTTTCTAGAGAACTGAAAAGGACAGTGAGCACCGACCACTGTGAATAACCAATTGGTGCATTCATTTATCGCCTGGCTCCAGAGATACAACAGTGCCAAAGTAGCTGGGTTCCACTCAGCACTGTGCTACATTTATACATCACCATGTGTTGATGCTATTTGCCCATTAAAGAACTATACGTTACTGGTTTTGACTTGCCTTTAAATTCTCCATACTCTAACTTATCAGTGATACACATGTACATTTATTTAATGAATACTTCATTGGGTTTGTTTATAAATACATTCTATTTATATTTTAAAATGTCAAACAAATTGAGTAGCAATATCTACTTCATGTACAAATAAGTTTTAGAATGACATATGTCCATCTGTCTTCTGTTCTTATAACTGCAAGTATTTTTAAAATGTAACAGCTGTTATGATTAATTGCATATGCAGCTCTAATGAACAAAGTCTCATTGCATGGCAACAGTTTTTCTTCAATCCCTTCACAAAGGTACACAGTTGTGTGGTAAACTTAAGATGGTAAAGCCACATTTTCCTTAGCAACAATAAAACAACATCAAAAGCTCAATCTCTCATCTTTGCAGATTTTCTTTTGCAGTTGTGCGTTTTGCTGTTTTGGAAAAGTTTTGATTAACCAACTATTATAATGACACAATATAATTTTTAATTTATCTAAACAGTTTCTCCATTTGAGTGCTAAACTACAGTATGCCATGCTGTTTTTTTGAATAATTTGCCACGCTCTGCCAGAGTTGTTTAGTGGCGACGGAGCAAAAATAGAAGTGACGCTTTCACACAGAAAATACTTATTACACACAAAGTGATGGTAAAACAGAAGCACGCCGTCAGTTAATTGGGTTTTACCAAATAGATGACTGAAACATTGGCAAGTAAAAAAAAAAAAACTTGGCAAAGTGTTTAAGGATTTAACCCTTAGCTACAAAACCAATACACCTTAGATTTCACCATCATTTCACAAAAAGAACAAAATGTTAATTATACCTTTGTTGTAACAATGCTTCTTGGTAAAAACAAAAAATGTATTTTTTGGAAAGCCTGTTTATTTCCCCTCTTAACGATGCTGGTTTTGTTAGGAAAATGCATTTGTAGGATTTTTCATCAGTCCCACCTATGAAAAAAAAAATGGCCATATTCTTCTTGCCAATGCCCAATAGCTTATTCACAGCAGCTACAGTCTACAGCTTACAGATCTGTGTTCTTTCATTCTTCATCACATGAGATTAAAAACTGCTAAGAGTGTCAGACCAGGAGTCCCAAGCCGTGGTTCAAGTCTAGTCCAAGTACGTCGTCTTTTACTTGTGCAACTTCATTCCAACTTGAGTCAGAGTTTCAAACTTGAGATGTCATCCTTGTATTAAGTTAATACAAAAAAATTAATTGTAAAATTATATGTATATGCCTGTATAGTAAAGATCAGCATATACATCCTGGGGGATAGGGGGTTGTGATATAATTTGAATCCTGGAAATTGTTGGTAAGCAGTAGCAAACACTGTTAGCCAATCCTGGGTAATGAAATTTCAGCTAAAATAAGGAGTTTTAATGCAGTAAAAGCACATTTACATTTTATCTAAACATCTAATTTTAAATGTAGTCTACCTATTGCAGTACAACTGAAAGCCAAGTTAGTATTCAATGAGAAAAAATAGATATGCAAGTATAAGGGTCTGTTTCTATTAGCTTATTTTTCCTGCACTGCAGCTGCTGTATTAACACACATCAATAAAACTGTGATTCTGCTGGTCCATTGATATCCATCCATCCATTTTCTGAACACCCTTGTCCCTCAGTGGGGTCGGGAGGGGTGCTGGTGCCTATCTCCAGCTAACGTTCCGGGCGAGAGGCGGGGTACATCCTGGACAGGTCGCCAGTCTGTCGCAGGGCAACACAGACACACAACCATGCGCACACACACACATACATACCTAGGGGCAATTTAGACAGACCAATTAACCTAACAGTCATGTTTTTTTTTGGACTGTGGGAGGAAACCGGAGTACCCGGAGAAAACCCACGCATGCACAGGGAGAACAGGCAGACTCCATGCAGAAAGACCGGGGCCGGGAATCGAACCCAGAACCTTCTTGCTGCACGGCAACAGCTCTACCAACTGCGCCACTGTGCAGCCGGTCCATTGATATTTTTATTGTTATTGTTGTAGCTTAGAAAAAGATACGGCCGAGACGCCACACCATTCGATTGTATCACAGCGTCTTTGAGCAGTGGAGAGACAAACAGACACAGATTTATTCAAAAGTAATGGGTTTAATAAACAGATGCTGGCAGGAGCTGGCACACATCTGCTGCACTGTTGCTTTCCTTCTACCAGCACCACCAAATTATGTTCACTTTTCACTGAGCAGCAGGAGGCTGACACATCAGAATTTGGACAAAGAATGGCTTTTAATCAATCTGGGGCAAATTCAGTAAGAATAAAGAAAGTAAGCTCAGTCGACGACAGATATGCATCACGTGATCAAGTCAAGCAGTCAAATTCACAAAATGTTGCTTTTTTCAAATTCCTTTTTTTTAAATTGTAATTGATTGAGCACACAATCAGTTGTTTCAAGGTGCAATTGTTTTCATGCTGCAAAATAATGAAGAAATCATACTTTGCTGGATCTATCCATGTCTGATTTCTTTGCCTGATTTTTTTTTTTTTTTATGCTTATCCACAGGAAACACCTGCACTGCATTCATAGGAGCAGAGGAAGATTGTGTTGGTTCAGAGATGACAGTGGGTAGGGGTAAACAAAGAACAGGAGGCAAGGATTTTAGCTTTCTATTTTTAAATATTTCAGCAAATGCTCTGCTGTCACTGTTACTTATCTCGCCATGTATGTTAGCATCTCAGTAAAGATGTTGTAGATAAATGGAAGTTCAAATTACAAGCCTGTTCCCTTTTGGAAGAAGGTTTGTTGCTGCCTGTTTCGTACCGGGTGTGCATACATGGATGAAGGGTGCAGGATTCACACTGACTGACTCCATGATAACAATATGTTCCTTTTGCTATGTCATGTTATTTTTTTAAGTTATGCTTTTTATATTTAAAGCTTAAACAAGGTTTATCGCTCTAAGTGCCCCTGTGGTCAAATCATTGACTATTATCTTAATTTTTCAGATAATAGTGTGGGCTTCTGACAGCTCCAAGATTTCTAAATATAGACTTGAATTGAATCTTCATCAGCACAGACAGAGCATCTGCATAGCATCACAGAAGGTAAAATAACATTATGAATGGACTATTTATGGGTAGTGCAGTTTAGACAACATAAACTGACCAGGTGTCACAGGTCAATGTGGCAACATCTGTTGATTTTCTTGTGATAAATTAAAATGGAAAATGTCTTCAGGTTACTTTTACCACTGTCCAAAATTAAGGTTAAATATCCAGGCTTTGATAACACTAGGCCTGTGTTTTTTATTATTATTATTGTTCAGTTGTGGTCTTCATGTCACTTCAAATATGTTCAAAAAAGCATGATGATTACTACTGGAAACTGTACTTGACATTTCAGGGACACCATACAGAAAAGCTGGCTCTGTATATACCTTTAAGTTCTGGAAGCTAACCAAGCGCTTTGCTGCCACCCTGAAGACTAGAATTAAAAAGTACCACTTTAGCCCAAGTTTTGTAACATTTCTCTAGAAGTCAGCAAAACTCTCTGAACAAGGGGTTTCCTGATCCCGCAAGAACTTGTTTCAGTGGTAGGAAATCTCAAAGCAGGCACTCCTTCTGCACCGGTCTGTGAGCCATAACTCTAACTTCCTGTCAGCTCCCGGGTCACAAATGATGCTCTGTTTGGAATTTTTTTCCTTGACTGATTGATTTAATTACATCAACAATGTAATCTGGGTGTAAAGTTAAAAATGTCTGTGCATCTGCACTATGTGGTTGGGTGTGTGAATTGTAATCTCTCAAAATGACACATGGTCTTCAGATTTTGCTGTCACCGTTTTGAAAAACTAGCCAAAAATAGAAAATATTCAGTTAACGCCACCTCTGTTGTAATGGGGACAATGAGTAATTGAGAGGAGCTTTCTATCTAAAGCGACATAAAAGCAGAGTAATTTTTTTTCAGCAGATTTGAGGCAAGCTTATTGAGTAATAGATTTTAAATGGGAAAGGAAAAAAACTTTTTTGCCATTGGCATCCACCCATCTGTTAATTTGTTTATGTGCACATAAACAAATGGTCTTTTTTTTTGTTGGAAAGTAGTGAAGTCTAATTATTTCATGTGTAGTTTCTGTATCTTCTTTAAAGTAGCTTTAATCTTTATAAAGCTAATGTGTGGCTAATTTTAACTTCTTAAATTAGCGTTGGACTGCTTCTTAAGAAATAAACTTTAGTAATTTACCTGTCACATTGCCCCTATCAAGTTCGGCAGATCATTCCTCCATTAAGTGCAGATTACTGGTTTGATCGGTTCATGTGTCAGACGCCTTCAGAAAAAAAATCCATCTTGCGGCAGGGGACATAAATGTTTGACTGTGCGTTGGCTGCTGCATTGTGGATAAAAGAGACACCAACAGAATGAAGAGATTCGCTATGCACATCGCCTCGGGTGGATTGTGCCAGTTGCTAAAGAAGGAGACTTTTTTTTTTTCTTCCCATTTCTTTCTCAAGACCAGAATAAGCTTCCTCGAAAACTGACACTTTGGCTGAATGCTGCTAACTCTGCTACTAGTAATCTCCAATAATATCACCCTGGAAGCTGCAGTGGTACATTTCACATTTAGCATTTATCCCCCTCCCCGCCCCCCTACGTTTTTACCCCCTGCCGACGTGCTCTGGCTTCCCCTTGGCAGAGCTGTGCAGCACTCTGCAGTACCTGCAGTTGCTCAGCTAAAGGGCAAACAGACAAAGAGGCAGAGGCGATTA